TTTATCTTTGTAATCACGAAGTATTAAGGACTAATATCTAATTACAGTGATCCCTCGTTTATCGCGGTAGATGCGTTCCAGACCTGGCCGCGATAGGTGAAAATCCGCGAAGTAGGGAAACCATATTTACAGTATTTATTTAACAGGTACGTATTCAGTATTCAGACTTTTAAAACCCTCCCTTTACATAGTACTGTGTTTTTACTTGTTTTTTTTTTATAGTTTTATTACAAAAAGTGCATTTTATGATGAAATTGATGAAAAAAAGGAATTTCTTAATATTTCGCATAGAAAAATACCGCGAATCGGTGAAAAATACAGCGAATCGGCGAATTTCCTTTGAATAAGACTCCAAAGAAAAAATCTGCGAAGTCGTGAATCCGCGATAAACGAACTGCGAAGAAGCGAGGGATCACTGTATGCACTAATATACGTTAATGCATTTTTAATAACAGTTGGGTGTAAAAGTCAAAGTTGCCACCCTGTTTATTTATTTTGGGGGGGTGAAGAAGAGAGGAGGTTTCTTGGCAGAGGTCACAGCAGCCTCACAAGGAAGCAGTTGCTGCATACTTAAGCCGTTCAGCGCTAAAATGTTGCTCCCGCAATGATACACAGTCAAATGCATTTCCCTCGCTACTCTTTTATGTCAGAAGAGGGAGGACGTTAACGTCTGTTTGAATTATGATCTGGAAAAAAAGACTCTTTATTGATTTGCTACTTTGTGAAAGGGATGACTACATCACACAGACAAGTGAGATTGAGTGTCGCTGACAGTCGGAAAGAGAATTTGTCCTTTATGGAGGCAACAAAAAGAATCCAGAGCAAGAAAATCCAGCCAATTCATGCATACACAGTTGTAAAAGGGTCACGTCTGCAGGCTGAGCAAACACCTCCAACCACCCCCCTGATGCACGCCTGAATTCCCCAAGAAACGGATTCAAACTCCCCGTTTGTTTGTTGACACATGATTGTTCTCAACATTGCATTTGTTAGCCTTGTTTACTCTAATAGGCTGTTGGAACAACAACAGATCTGCATAATATTTTAGAGATTGATTGGGATGGAAATTTCTCCGTGGGTTCAATTGGTGTGGCTTGGCCCGTTTTAATTGGCTTCTGTTAATTAATGCCCAATGTGTAAACAAACTGAATTACTTGCAGATTTTGTGCATGTCATTATCCTAATTGTTGCAGTAGGAAAGTGTGTGCGTGTTCCACGTGCACGCATGCTTATTGGGTTAACTCTTCTCTCACTGGTAAAATCACCTCGCTTTAGCAGCTTGCACAGGTCATTAAGTTAATAAATCATTAGGTTTGAATGCGTATATCAACTGAAAGACTAAGAAAGCTGGTGTTTGTTTATAGTTTAGCTAAATGCAGGCTTTTTGACAACGCATTTTAATATAGATTGAATTTTTGTTGACATTTATCTTAAACTTCTCTCCCTTAAAGGGATACTTTGCAACTTTTTCATGTGTTTAAACTGTTTTCATGAGCCAGTATGTGCTAAAATGACCCTTTACAGGGTTAATGATAAGCAACCCAACCCCTATTGCCCCCTGTGGCCAGAATATTCCACTTGCAACTTCAGACTGGTGGGCTGCTTTGTTGGGACTTGGGTACAAAACTGAGCTGACATACCTGGCGCTGCAGTCTGGTTCCAGCATGTTTCCTGTATGTTTTAGATCACAAACACACCTGATTTGTTCAATTTAGTGATTAGTGGTTCCTGGAGACACTAATGAAGGCTGGGGAGACATTTCAACAGTTAGCTTAAGGTCTTAAAAAAATGAATGCACAGTGAGGAGATTTTGTTCTACAGACAGACACTAGGAGGTGTCAAAAGCAAGCCTAAACTGCCTAGTTCCCCTTTAAAGACCAAGTTTACTTGTTTTTTCAACACAGGTGCAGTGGTCTTTGTAGTATGAATGCGTGACTTGTGAGCCAATCTATGTATGGACAAAAGTCTCAGTGCTCTTGTTTCATTGCCTAGTGGACTAGACCAATTTCTTGCTTTGCAAAGTTTGGTCTAGGAACGCTCCATTAGAACCTCCGCAGCCCCTAGTAGTAGTCTGGCTGGACAATCACAGCTCTCTATAGGGGTTTCATTCCTATAGAGCTCTGTGACCAATCACAGCGCTTTATCTGCTTTGTGGACCAATCAGGGCCCTCCATTCCTCTTGTGGACGGAATGATGCAACAGAGTGGAACAAGATGGCGACAGCTCATTTGAAACAGCTTTTACATCAATTGTGGACTATTTGGACTTGGGCTTTATTGGATTCAAGAGCCGATAGATTTATTTAAGTCCTTTATTTAGAAAAATGGGGTGTATTTTTGCCTTCTTCAACAGCGGGCTGCCTCGTTTACAGACATCCGTTGCGTTGTTTATTGTCCAGTAGCATGCGGAGATTATTAGAAAGACAACAGTAGAACCCGTCCCACGACTGAGCTATCAATGAAGTGGTGCCAGGCTAAATAATGCATTTATTTAGTCTGGCTTGCCAGGCTACCTGTTTCAGGAAGTCAGAGAAGAGGTAAGCAGAACACGGGGATATACGGGGATTGGAAAACATGATAATTTAGTGCAGAAAAGCCACAGCTGGGATTCAGACCTGCAACCTTCGGGCTGTAAGGCAACTGAATCACTAATGTCATCCCAGTTTGTGAAAGAAGAGTGGGCGGAGATACCTCCAAATTGATGACAGGCTAATCGCCAGTACAGTTTCCCCACCTAGGGGATCACTTACTTTTTTTACACAGAACCTGGTTGGTTTGGATAGATTATGTTTCCTTTCATGAATAAAATCAGCACATCTTTGTGTGACATTGAAATGTGTTGATCTGAAACAAGTCATTTGTGAGCCTTTAGTTCTGACTGATTACACCAAATAATCCGTCTAACAAATAGGCGATTTAGACTCAAACAACTAAAGTGTCAAAGAAGCTAAAACTCACATTTCACAAGTGATTCAGCAGCAGTCGATGGCTTCAGCTGAGAAAATAAAAATGAAAAGAAAGCAAATTCTGTTAAAGTGCTTCTCCTTCGAGTTAAATTCAAATTGAAGCAGCGGTTCAGCGAACATGCAATGAACTGTGGGTCATCTCCTGGACCTCTTTGCAGTTGATGAGACATATGTGCGACTTGTGGTGCAAAGCAGAAAGATTCATATTTTCAGACCATTAAACAGAGGATGCTAAAGCTTGGCGCAGACACATAGCGGTCAAAATGCATCAAAGGGTAAAATAGCAGAGTGAGTCACTGCACCACTCAGCCATTTATCTTTCCAGCCAGTCGCCGAGTCGAGGAGGTCCTCAACAGCGACAAATAAACATATTAGCGTGATCAGTCGTGCTCTGAGAAGGAAGAGCGAATTACAAATTAATGGTTGTCTGTTGCCATGCAAACTGCCGAGCCGTTAGACCCAAAGTGACCTTGAAGAGACTCGTTAGGGGAGTGATTGACGTGGCAACTGCTGCCAGAGGAAGCAGCAATGGTAAGAAGGGAGAGAGGACAGACGGGTGGGCCGTGCGGCTGGGCTGCAGGTGGCGAGCAGTGGGAGAGGAGCGAACCTGGAGGTTGGCTAGACAGTCTGACTTCATGGTGATGAAGTACCTCATCTGTGCCAGGAGTTTTAGGTGGAAAGATGAGACCAAACACAGATCGTATATTCTGGAAGTGGCTCATCAAACAAAAACAGCATCTAAAAGTACTCTGCGGTCCTGTAGGTGGATCTCTAGTCCCATTCAGCCTACCTTTTATATGAGTTCTGGTTTATTAAGAGTTTTATTATTCAGTCTTCTTTTGTTAAAATAACAGTAATTTTCCTCTTCTGCGTCCATTCACCAACAAATCAAATGGTCAAATAAAGACTGGTTTTAAAAATTTATGAAAATGCAGTGAATAGTTTATTAAAACACCTGGAAAACTATTATTTAAGACCAAAGTATCACAAGTCTCCAAGTACGTAGACATTTATTTATATAATGATAAAGTCGTCTCAAGCCACTTTGCTAAGCACGAATTCCAATTAAACCTTTTATCAGTGCATTGGGTTCAATTCATTATTCCAATTATTTAAAAGTGTCCTAACTAGGAAAAGCAGCAGACTGCATTGAGTCGCTGACTTGTTGTTACATTGATTTTACAGCTATCCTTAAACTAGGCAAGCATGTAGCGACAGTGGAGGGGAAAACACCCATTTAACAGGAAGAAACCTCCAGGACCTGGATCAGTATGAGCAGCCATCTGCCACCAAAATGAGTGAGTGTTGGACTTCCTCTAGTGCGTTCACTACATTAATATTTACCTAGAGAAACATTTATAATTCAGGATGAAGACTGCAATTAGCTTGTACTCTTTGGTTTGTGTGGTGACCGGTGTGACCACACACATGCCTTTTTTCTGGCTTAAAATTCCCACATGCAGCCACTCCAGGTTCTATTAAATTAATTTTGACCACAAGAGAGTCCTTAAAGCAGAAATCCATAGTTTCTTGTCAGAGGGCACCATCTAGAGGCTGAAAAAATGTATTGCACCTTAAGCCCCTCTCCCTACTTCTGTGATTATGGCTGGAAACAACAATTTATTTGTAAACTTGCACCTCTAGCCGGACAACGAAGCTAAAATGTTTTACAAACGTATTGTGTTTATTCACATATTTTAAATACTTGCTTGTCCATATGAAATGTGACCAACTCTACATCAGACTACTTCTGCAAATGCATGCATGCGAACGTAAGCAGGCTAATGCTAATGACGGTTAAGTAAAATTGCATGGGGCTCTACAAGATGGGACATATTGTATACATCATATCACAACACAGGGTAACAATATCACTTATGGATTTCTAAATCATCATGCATAATTCCTGATAGGGGAAAATTCCAAATTGCTGCCTTAGGGGGTCTTGTACCTTCAGCAGGTTTCAGATGTTGGTTTGCAGGACATTGAAGTTTATTTTCTTAGACGTATGGCAATCCTCTGTGTGAAAACGCACCTGTGATGTCGTGCTGTTTGAACGAGTCGCTGTAGACCTGGTACTGATTGGGACAATGCTTTTTCAGCCATTTCACCACGTCCTGTTGGGTCCACAGAGCCACGGGCTTGGACAGCTTCACGTAACCCGGCTGGAACAAATCAGAACATGATTTGAAAAGCATTAAAATCCCAGTATTATATTTAGGTAAGGAATTTTAAATTAAAATGCAAAAACAATGTTCATTTTAAACATGAAAAGATCATTTCAGCAAGGTTGTTAAAAGGGATCACTACTGAGTCATTTTAATGACTTTTTCACACCCAAGGCTAGTTGGCGCCATTAAGTTTCATTGTGTTATGCTAAGCTAAAGCTAAAAGAGTACTGCTGGACCAAGAGAATGGCTGGGCTGTGTTTACTCCTCCTTATCAAACTATGGGGAATAAAGCAACAGACAAAATTTTACTTTGGGTTTGAAAATCCCTTTTAAAAAGGAAAATCAGGGCCCACTGAATAGAAACACTAACAAAACACAGATTTGGTAATAACATTTCGACATTGACATCAAAATAACACTAACTTTGAGATGTATTCCAATTCCAATTTTATTTATAAAGCGCATTCACAAGGCATTACAACCAAACAAGGCGCTGTACACTAAAAATGTTAGTTAATTAAACCGGCGTTATACAGTCATGTAGAACAGAGATAAAAGATAAAAAGGAAAAACAACAAAATTCCTAAAACTAACAGTTAAAAATCAATAAAACACATTTACATGAAATCATGTCTTTGATTCACATCTGACTTAGAGCCTAGAAAACTGCTCATTAGATTTTGAAATCAAAAGAAATTTTGGCTGATTGTTTTCAAGAATATTTGGGTGATTAATACATTAATTTCCAGTAATTGGATAAAACTCTGAGCACAAACAGATTTCACAGGTCTGTGTGATACTTGTGGGGTTTTTAAACTGTAAAAAAAACTGTCAATTCTTCTTGTTAATTCATGGATTAACTTATTAGTCACATTACATGGAAATCTGAGTTCAGTTTTACCAGCTTAATTACAACAATAGAATAGTGCTGTATTGTCATTACACCTGAAGGCACAATGAAACTGAGGATGTTCCAACCGAGCCACCGTGCACCGCAACATTACAGTCATTAAGGAGGCAGCAAAACAACGTGATGAAATCATATTTAAAAAGTGCAAAAACGTGATAAAAACAATGCTAAACACTAAAAGTAGGTGAATATGTGGTGTAATTGTTACCAAACATGAAGTAGGATAAAAATTCTCAATAAGCAACATGTTACACCCCATTCTAAAGGAATTCAAGGACAAAGAACCCAAGAACCACCACCAAAGTACTGCAGGTCTCCAATGGTTGAGGTCAGAGATCAAGATTCAACACCAGGATAAAGGATGCCGGGGACCTGAATTCAAACGATTCTCTGAAGAGTGGGGCACTGGTTATCACAAATGCTTGATTACGGTTAAGTTTAAGGCCAGTTCCTTTTCCACATGCAGGCAGGTTGGTATGGATAAGTTTGGCCTTTTAAATGAATAAAATTGTCTTTTGTATTTACTCGGGTTATCTTTGTCTGAAAGTAAAATGTATTTTCTGATACGACACCTTTAAGTGTGACACAAACCCAGCTGTGGGGGTCAAACCCAGCTGTGGGGGTCAAACCCAGCTGTGGGGGTCAAACACCAGCACTGTATGAACAGGCCATTGGTCTAAATGAAAAGCACTCGGCTTTCAGGACTTCACTCCAACTTGAGCCCTTCAGCAGCCTTATGATCGCTCTTTAAAGAGTTTGATTTTGATTTGAAGGGGCGACTAAAATTACAAACAGAAAGAGAGAGGGGTGATTAAAGTTTCACATCCCCTCCCCTCCACTTCAACCTGCTCCGTGGAAGCCGTGTGGCGCTGCATAGCAATGGAAGCCTTGTTCCTTCTTCGTTCGCAGCCAAAAAACAGCTTTTCTTGAATCTGATTTCTTCCCATCAGATCTCATCTCTGCCCTGAATTCAATCTCACACAATCCCTGTCAGATCTAGCACGCTGTCTTCTCCACTTCAGCCCTCACTGGTTTTTATTTTATTCTCCTTCCGAGCCTCGGCGCTGCTCCCACTCAGGGGCGTAGCACCAAATTCTGGGCCCTAGGTACAAGTCTTCTAGGTGGGCCCCCATGCTCAATTACTTAATATCTCTCTGACACATTTTTTGTCATGCTATAAGACAAGATAATAAATATGATCTTAGTTTAACCTCTATATTGAGCAAATACAAATGCCAGCATAATAAAAGTGAAATGCCAAGACTTCACATATAATTATTTTTATTTGCCAACAATGTGTTCAAACAAAAATCCTGGAATTTATTTTCCTGTAAATGCCCACTGACAGGTCTTCATGTTAGCAAAATCACTTATGAGATCTTTAAAGTCCAATCCTTTGGCTAATTGGCTTTCAATAGAAAAAAGAACTAGGCTGTTCAGTCTATCCTGGGACATTGTTGATCTCAAATAATTTTTCACCAGTTTCAGTTTGCTAAAAGCCCGTTCACCCCCAGCAACAGTCACAGGCAGTGTGCAAAAAATCCTCAGTCCAATACAAACTTCTCCAAAAATGCTCTGTAATTGCATCCTGTATGGCATTAAGCAGCTCAAGAGGAGACCGAATGTGTGGAAATGTGGCACCATATATTGTTCTCAGGTGTAGCATCTCATTCTCAAATTCAGCTGTGAGATCCTTGTAATATTTTCTCATCAGTGCCTGGCATGATGTCTTCATCTGCTCTTCAGTCATGTCTGTCATGGTTCATGATGTTAAGCTTTGCTAATACTTATATGTATTGATATATTAAATACATATGACATGAAATAAACCAGGTTCTCTCTGTGAATGTAATGCACTCTAAATTTTATAATCCCTGCATTATCAGCCAAATTATAAGATTGTCCGTTTTCAAGATCAAATATAAAGAAATTTAAAATAGGCTTAAAATATCTAACCAAGTCAATAACAATCCTCTAACACCAGTGTCGTCATGCTATACGAAAAACAGTGGCAGCTTCTCATTCCTGAGATTACCACGAATCCATCGATACCAAGTTTGTCCTGGTCCATGACTGGGAAGGAGCTGAAATATCCACACAGAGTGAACCTGTTTTTACTGCGAGGTCCGCGAATTAATTGGCGGCGGCCGCCCGCGATAATAATTCTGATTTTAATATATATATATATATATATATATATATATATATATATATATATATATATATATATATATATATATACATATATATATTAGGGATGAGCGAGTACACCACTATCTGTATCTGTACTTGGAATGGGCGTGGCATAACCCGGAAGTGGGCGTGGGTTAACCGGAAGTGGACATGGTTTACATCAATGTATTATTTTAAGTCTGAAATTTATATGGATTGATCAGAAGTTGCTATGTGTATTGTTTATTTGAAAACTATTTACAGAGCAGCCTCAGAAGTGAGATTAAATATTTTTGATCACAATAGTAAAGAAACTATTACAGAAAAAGTGTTTCAATAAAATCAGAACATTAATATTTGGGTGCATGGATTAATACATCTGAACCCATGCAGTAGGAACTAGGAAATATGAAATGCTAGAACCAGACACAACTTTATATATTTTTTTATTTTAATTTGATTAAACTGATTTTTTTTCTTAACGTTCTTGGCATTTTCCCACACAAAGTTTAACAAAGAAATGTTGATTAATGTGTGTGTGTGAGTGTGTGAGAGAGAGAGAGAGAGAGAGAGAGAGAGAGAGAGAGAGAGAGAAGAGAGAGAGAGAGAGAGAGAGAGAGAGAGAGAGAGAGAGAGAGAGAGAGAGAGAGAGAGAAAAAATTAAAAACCCCACCGGAGCGGAGGTAGTGACAACAGCACGTCAGCTCTGTCTTGTCAAATGCACCATGTCAGTTACGAAAAAAGTAACTTTAAATATTCAACCGAAAAAGAGGCGAGCTGAAGAAAACCTAGGGAAAACTGAAGAAACGTGAGCAACAGTGAAGCCATCACAGCGCGATCCGTTACTGTCTGTGTGTGTGCGTGGATGAGCCGGACGGACTGAGCTCCCGGTCGGCTAGAGAGTTTTGTAAGTAGGGAGGGGCGGGCGCTCTATGTGACTGGCCAATCACAGAGCGTGAAGACAGTCAGTTACCCAATGAAGATTTTCCTTCAGCACGATTACAGAGAATGACTCGTTTTACTAGTTTCATGCTCGTATTCATCAAAAATGCGTTATCCGTACCGGATACTCGTCTGAAATGAGTATCCGGCTTATCCCTAAAATTAGTGTTTTCACTGATAACACTAATTAATTTATATTTGATCTTGATGGTGAAACTAAAGGTGTTTAACACTGAACACCTAACATGAATGCAGCTTCTGAGAGCTAGCTAATATCAGCTAAAACTGTGTTCTGCTGCTGCTGCTCACCTTCCTTCTACTTGCTTCTGTTCAATTAACTTTTCCTCCTTCTCCTTCTTTTCTTTTCTTTTCTTTTCTGGAAGCCAGATTTCCCTTTCTTGGGAAAAGACATGACTGACTCTCCTGCCTCCAGCTCTGGCTGTCGGCATCTGCGATGTCTCATTAGCACATGCAGCCGGGCAGCCCCTGGCCGCTGGTGTGGACTAAACCACTTTGCACATTTTTAAGGGGTGATAGATGCCTCAGAGATTATTCAGTTATTATTTTTAAGGCGAAATTCTGTTTCTTAACCTCTTTATCCAGGTAAAGGGAAATTTATTAAGACATTAAGTAAGTTGGGGGAAAAAAACAACAACAATAAAACATTTTTATTCAAAGCTGTCTCAGGGCCCCTCCCTGCAGTGGGCCCTGGGTAAACGGTACCCTTTCCCCCCCCAGTCCGACGCCCCTGCTCCCACTCACTCGGTATCTAGCATCCTGGAAAAACCAGGGGAGAGGTACATGCAGGTTTGGGTGCATGGTCTCCTGCACAAAGAGGAAGTGACAGTTCGAGACTGCAGGGGGGTATGTAGGCAGGCGGAGGACACGCCTCCTGATATAGGAACCTGCATGAGTAGATGTGGAGTGAACATGGAGGGGACAGGTAGCTGTCACAGGAAGAGACCACATT